TGTGACTGAGGGATCTCAGGGCTGTCAGAACTGTTCTCAGGGCTTTTCAGAGGCATTCTGAGACTGTCTCAAAAGAATCAACCCTGTACGTCAGCCGTGTCGATCTAATGATTTCGTAATCCCATGTACTATGAAATTTGCATAAGCGCAGGTACGTGTTACCACTCGTGACTGAGGGATCTCAGGGCTGTCAGAACTGTTCTCAGGGCTTTTCAGAGGCATTCTGAGACTGTCTGAAAAGGAATCAACCCTGTACCTTCAGCCGTGTCGATTCTAATTGATTTCGTAATCCATGTACTATTGAAATTTGAATAAGCCCAGGTGCGTGTTACCACTTGTGACTGAGGGATCTCAGGGCTGTCAGTCCACTTCAGGCACCTACTTCGGCCCATTCTGAGACTGTCTCAAAAGGAATCAACCCTGTAAGTTCAGCCGTGTCAATTCTAATTGATTTCGTAATCCATGTACTATTGAAATTTGAATAAGACCAGGTGTGTGTTACTGCTCGTGCCCAAGGGATCTCAGGGCTGTCAGTCCACTTCAGGCACCTACTTTGGCCCATTCTGAGACTGTCTCAAAAGGAATGAACCCTGCACATTCAGCCGTGTCAATCCTAATTGATTTCGTAATCCATGTACTATTGAAATTTGAATAAGCGCAGGTACGTGTTACCACTCCTGACTGAGGGATCTCAGGGCTGTCACTCCACTTCAGGTACCTACTTTGGCCCATTCTCAGACTGTCTCAAAAGGAATCAACCCTGTACGTTCAGCCGTGTCGATTCTAATTGATTTCGTAATCCATGTACTATTGAAATTTGAATAAGACCAGGTGTGTGTTACTGCTCGTGCCCAAGGGATCTCAGGGCTGTCAAAACTGATTTAAGGGCTTTTCACATGCATTCTGAGACTGTCTCAAAAGGAATCAACCCTGTACGTTCAGCCGTGTCGGTTCTAATTGATTTCGTAATCCATGTACTATTGAAATTTGAATAAGCCCAGGTACGTGTTACCACTCGTGACTGAGGGATCTCAGGGCTGTCAGTCCATTTCAGGCACCTACTCTGGCCCATTCTGCGACTGTCTCAAAAGGAATGAACCCTGTACGTTCAGCCGTGTCGATTCTAATTGATTTCAAAATCCATGTACTATTGTAATTTGAATAAGCGCAGGTACGTGTTACCACTCGTGACTGAGGGAACTCAGGGCTGTCAGAACTGATTTAAGGGCTTTTCACAGGCATTCTGAGACTGTCTCAAAAGGAATCAACCCTGTACGTTCAGCCGTGTTGATTCTAATTGATTTCATAATCCATGTACTATTGAAATTTGAATAAGACCAGGTGTGTGTTACTGCTTGTGACTGAGGGATCTCAGGGCTGTCAGAACTGATTTAAGGGCTTTTCACAGGCATTCTGAGACTGTCTCAAAAGGAATGAACCCTGTACGTTCAGCCGTGTCGATTCTAATTGATTTCGTAATCCATGTACTATTGAAATTTGAATAAGACCAGGTGTGTGTTACCACTCGTGACTGAGGGATCTCAGCGCTGTCAGTCCACTTCAGGCACCTACTTTGGCCCAAGCTGAGACTGTCTCAAAAGGAATTAACCCTGCACGTTCAGCCGTGTCGATTCTAATTGATTTCGTAATCCATGTACTATTGAAATTTGAATAAGACCAGGTGTGTGTTACTGCTCGTGCCCAAGGGATCTCAGGGCTGTCAGAACTGATTTAAGGGCTTTTCAGAGGCATTCTGAGACTGTCTCAAACGGAATCAACCCTGTACGTTCAGCCGTGTCGATTCTAATTGATTTCGTAATCCATGTACTATTGAAATTTGAATAAGACCAGGTGTGTGTTACTGCTCGTGCCCAAGGGATCTCAGGGCTGTCAGAACTAATTTAAGGGCTTTTCACAGGCATTCTGAGACTGTCTCAAAAGGAATGAACCCTGTACGTTCAGCCGTGTCGATTCTAATTGATTTCGTAATCCATGTACTATTGAAATTTGAATAAGACCAGGTGTGTGTTACCACTCGTGACTGAGGGATCTCAGCGCTGTCAGTCCACTTCAGGCACCTACTTTGGCCCAAGCTGAGACTGTCTCAAAAGGAATGAACCCTGCACGTTCAGCCGTGTCGATTCTAATTGATTTCGTAATCCATGTACTATTGAAAATTGAATCAGACCAGGTGTGTGTTACTGCTCGTGACTGAGGGATCTCAGGGCTGTCAGTCCACTTCAGGCACCTACTTTGGCCCATTCTGAGACTGTCTCAAAAGGAATCAACCCTGTACGTTCAGCCGTGTGGATTCTCTTTGATTTTGTAATCCATGTACTATTGAAATTTGAATAAGACCAGGTGTGTGTTACTGCTCGTGCCCAAGGGATCTCAGGGCTGTCAGAACTGATTTAAGGGCTTTTCAGAGGCATTCTGAGACTGTCTCAAACGGAATCAACCCTGTACGTTCAGCCGTGTCGATTCTAATTGATTTCGTAATCCATGTACTATTGAAATTTGAATAAGACCAGGTGTGTGTTACTGCTTGTGACTGAGGGATCTCAGGGCTGTCAGAACTGATTTAAGGGCTTTTCACAGGCATTCTGAGACTGTCTCAAAAGGAATGAACCCAGGTGCGTGTTACCACTCGTGATTGAGGGAACTCAGGGCTGTCACTCCACTTCAGGCACCTACTTTGGCCCAATCTGAGACTGTCTCAAAAGGAATCAACCCTGTACGTTCAGCCGTGTCGATTCTAATTGATTTCGTAATCCATGTACTATTGAAATTTGAATAAGACCAGGTGTGTGTTACTGCTTGTGACTGAGGGATCTCAGGGCTGTCAGAACTGATTTAAGGGCTTTTCACAGGCATTCTGAGACTGTCTCAAAAGGAATGAACCCTGTACGTTCAGCTGTGTCGATTCTAATTGATTTTGAAATCCATGTACTATTGAAATTTGAATAAGACCAGGTGTGTGTTACCACTCGTGCCCAAGGGATCTCAGGGCTGTCAGAACTGATTTAAGGGCTTTTCACAGGCATTCTGAGACTGTCTCAAAAGGAATCAACCCTGTACGTTCAGCCGTGCCGGTTCTAATTGATTTTGTAATCCATGTACTGTTGAAATTTGAATAAGTGCAGGTACGTGTTACCTCTCGTGACTGAGGGATCTCAGGGCTGTCAGAACTGATTTAAGGGCTTTTCACAGGCATTCTGAGACTGTCTCAAAAGGAATCAACCCTGTACGTTCAGCCGTGCCGGTTCTAATTGATTTTGTAATCCATGTACTGTTGAAATTTGAATAAGTGCAGGTACGTGTTACCTCTCGTGACTGAGGGATCTCAGGGCTGTCAGAACTGATTTAAGGGCTTTTCACAGGCATTCTGAGACTGTCTCAAAAGGAACCAACCCTGTACGTTCAGCCGTGTCGATTCTAATTCATTTCGTAATCCATGTACTATTGAAATTTGAATAAGACCAGGTGTGTGTTACTGCTCGTGCCCAAGGGATCTCAGGGCTGTCAGAACTGATTTAAGGGCTTTTCATAGGCATTCTGAGACTGTCTCAAAAGGAATCAACCCTGTACGTTCAGCCGTGTCGATTCTAATTGATTTCGTAATCCATGTACTATTGAAATTCAGATAAGCCCAGGTGTGCATTACCTCTTGTGACTGGGGCAATTCTCAAAAGTTACAATGCGCAAATAAGACACAAACCCTCAAGAGTGAGGAGAGTGTCAGATGTAGAAGTAGAACTTGATAAAGACTACAATTTGAACAGAGCTGGATACAAGACACGGGAATACGAGGGGTAACACTGATGTGGGCTTAATCAGATTTCAAAAGTATGAAAACTTTGAAACTGATGGAATCCTGTGGGCTTGACCATTTGGTTTGATTCCTTTTGGGACAGGGTTTGGAATGTCTGTAATCAGCCCTCTGAAGATATCTGGCAGCACGGGGAGTGTCCCCTGGTCCAAGGGGTAACACCTTTGTGGGCTTTATCAACATTCAAAAGTTGATAAAGTTTGAAACTGAATAGAATCACGTGGGCTTGACTGGGTTGATTCCTTTTGGGACAGTGTTAGAATGTCGAGATTGAGATGCTCAATTTCGACATTCAAAGTTTGCAGTGCTGGTGGCTCGTGGCTCATTGTCATTGTCATTGCTCATGGTCATTGTCATTTTTCATTGCCCATGGAGCGTCCTCACGCTAGACGAACCCATCGGGAGGGAACACTCCTCACACCGAACACTCGTACTCGTGGTCGACCGATGGGAATGCATGAACAAATCTTTCATCAATCATCCAAACACGTCTTTGACCAAGTTGATCTCTGCCTCCAATTCCGACCGTGCACCTTTTCTCGAACAATCAAAGTCGATCAGTCTTGCGAGTCCGAGTGGATCGACGAGAACGTGACGACGTGCCACATCTCCATGAAGGGTACCTGAACGGTGAAGCGCTGAATAGATGGATATGACCGTCTCCCTGGAGTGTCAGATACGTGTCGGAAAGACGGAACAGAGACAAAACGTGAAGAGAGAACAAAGATAAAACGTGACCCCGAGCCAGAACGTGATGATGGAACCCCAGCCCAACCCAGGACGACAACGACACCGGCATTCTTGAGCATACGAGCGAACGGGGGCAAGCTAAGGCATGATCGAAATGAGACGCTCACAAAGGAACATGAGATTCGATCCCCGCATACCCCATGACGACCATGGTGACTGCCGCTCGCTCAGGATGACATAATCGATCGTTCGTTCCCACTGCATCCCACACTCCGAACAAACGAGGGATCTGATTACCCTGCAGATGGACCAGAGGTCCTCGCAGTAAGTTTATCTCGTTCCACACGGCTCGTTCAGCTTCGAGGGCGGTATAACCTTCTTCTTCTTCTCGGTCGGGATCTCGTTCTGATTCTGCCACGTCTCTGTCCCCCATCTCACCACTGACGTCTCTTTCCTCCTTGATGGGCTGACGAGTTTTGGAGAATGTGTCAAAGTTGACAAGCTTGACGGCAACGGTTTGGTCGCCCATGGTCGCTCTAAACACATCCCACAACCTGCCAGAAGAAATGTGAGCTTGGAGTCGTATGCACGATGGGGATGTCTCGGTGGAGAGCAACAGTTGCCAACCGGGCCTGTTGACAAGGGACGAGTGTGAGTGCGAGTGTTGAAATCGAGCGGTTGTTGGCAAGGACGAGGATGGTAATGGTACAGAGGTGGGATCGTCAGGGACGATGGACGTATCGTCTTTTCGGGGATGAGGAACGCTAGGTATCCAAGCAACGTTGTTTAGGAGTTTGCAATCCCACTCGTGCGTCAGATCATCCGAGAGGAATACCTTGGGATCGAATGAAAGAGAGATCACGGGAGGGAACGAGTCCTATCACGTGTGAGCGAGCTGCGCGAGGAACAAGATGAGATGCAAGAGTTCGGACGAACAGGACGATGTGCAGAGATTGGACAACGGGACAGAGCAGAGGAGGAGAGCGAGCGCGTTGGGAAAAAACGGAGACTAGACTCACGTTTGGGTCATGGTACGAGGAATTCCTACCCGACTTGACAGATGTCACGGGTGATACAGTCGTCGGAGGACTCGAACCCAGGGGCGAAGGTGATTGAGATTGATCCGAGAAGACACTGGATGATAGACAGAGCGACCGAGGTGTCAATCTCGCTCGTTTCCTCCAGCTCGCAGCCTGATCACTCGAGTGTGATAAGACGTTTTCCTCTGTTATCTCATCTGCCCCTCGCTCATCGTCCACGTCACCGTCCGTCGTGCCCCCTTGATCCTGTCCACCCGGCGGATGATCACCTTGTCGATCTCGCCCTGGCCCTTGGCCTCGGACGTCGCCGTCCCTGCCATGCCCCGACGGCCCTTGATCGTCTGGCTTCCTTTTCTTCGATCCACCCGATCTTGACTTTTGCTTTGGTGTCTTGGTTTTCGTTCGGGTCTTTCCGGGCGTGTGTGAAGTCTTTGGCCACGGAAGATAGAACCCCAACAAGCAGGATATCGGTCCCCCAGGTTCGGCCCGGCCAGGGCCCATTCCATCGTCACCCACGAACCCCAATGCGAAGATCAATTTCAGTGGCGTCCACTCGTCTCTCGACGCCACGGTTTCTCCCCATGGTGTGAGGTCGTCGGTGCTGGTGGTGATGATGGGAGAGAAATGGATGAGATCTGAGCGGACGCGGTGAACGAGGACGTAATTGGACCAGGAGGACAGAAGGATGAGACCGGTATGATTACGATTGAATTCGACGACGAGCTGAGAGGTCAGCCATGCGCGGGGGAAGAAAGGGAAACAGAGCGAGAGGAAGAGAGGAAGAGGGGGAAGAGGGGGAAGATGAGAGGAGGGACGGAATGGGAAAGAGAAGAAAGCACAGAAGGACGACCCACTTGATGTAACAACGTTGCGATGCTCTCCTGGAACTCGACAGAAAACGAACAGCTATGGTCCATGTCGGGCTGATCGAGCACAGGTCTGTCGTCTGCGTCCAACATCAACCTAGGCCAAGCGTCCTGCGCCAGAGTGGAGCGGCGTCGGAGGACAGAGACGAGGTCCAAGAGCAGGTCGGTGGTCAACAGGTCGTCCCGTTTGACTTCCCAGTGTACGACGTGCATCCGAGGACGAGGAGGCAGACCGGGGTAGGCACGGAAAAGGGCGAGATCTGTCTGGCCAGATTGTTCAAAAGGAGAGTGGTCGTCCAGAGTGGGCAGAGGGGCCACGAGCTTGTACCACTCCTTTATGGGCAGCCAGTCCACTTCGGTCTGATACAGATGATGATGCAGACCGCGAGAGGCCGTGACGAGGGTGCGGGACAGGAGCGATTGGAGCTTGGCTTCAGAGGTCAGATATTCATGCCGGACAACATCTTGAAAAGTAAGCGACCAAGATTGCACACGGCGGGACAAGGCAGACATGTCGACGGCGCCGGCCGGCTGGGACTGTGGGGAGGCGACGAGGGCGGCGAGATGGTCCAGGGGGGTTGGGGAGAAGGAGAACTTGATGGTGGAGGATGGACCTGACGATGATAGACTGGCCCTGACGGAATCCATGTCCATGGGGGTCAACGAGGTCTGATTGAGCTTGCCCCGGTAGAGATTCCGGGTGGTTGGCTGGGATGGAGGAGGTAAAGAGAAAGAGTCGAACAGGGTGGATAGCGTGGATGGCATGGTGGTGGTGGGAGTGATGGTGGTGGGAGTGGTTGTGGTGGTGGTGGGAGTGATGGTGGTGGGAGTGATAGCCGTGGTGGTGGTGGTGGTGGTAGTGGTGGTGGTGGTGGTAGGAGTGATGACACGGCACTAGCGGCGCTACGGCAAAAGTGCGTTGTGGCGGACGGCATAACCACTTGAATGTCTGTAAATACCCACGTGTATATCATCCACTCCAGTGAGTGCATGTGCATAGATGAATCCCCATCACCCCACATCCTGGTAATGTTTCTCAGTATGCTATTCGTGAATCAACTCGGTACAGGCTACAGGCATACAGTTGATACATACACCATTCAAATACAACAACTAGCGACTAGCTCGTAGTCAAAATCAAATACATGACCACACCTCACCCGGCCAATGACCAACACAACAATGTCCAACCCATCAACTGCTCCTCAAGCGGCTGCTACTGCTCCAACAGACACACGACCTCTCACTCGATCCCAAGTTCAAGGCCACAGACCACAATCTTCCTCTTTGTCTACCATCCAGCCTGACGGTACAACCCACACCACTTCTGATAAACACATTCAAGCTCTCTGTCTAGAGATCCTCTCCAACCAAATCACAGACCCATCATCCACCTTGCGCAATGCACTTTCCAATGTTCACCACATCATTGCCCGTGTCAAGAACCAAATCAGACAACTACAAGACGACTTCCAAGTCTTTGAAGGAACACACCGTGATAATATATCTGAACGGGATACTGTTACGACCTGAGAGCTAGGCAGTGACCAGGACCTGACTTCAGAGGACAATGACAATGAAGGATGAAGTGATAGCGTAGAGTGGATTGGACAATGATGACAAAGAGCACGTCAGTGCTGTAGAAGGGGATAGATCGGAAGTCACTTAAACAATGTGCGCCAGTGTAGCGAGCGCAAAGAGGAATGAGAAGAATGAGAAGGTCAGAAGTGTAACTTTTGAGAATTCATCAATGAGGAAGAGGTCTTTCAGGCACCTACTTTGGCCCATTCTGAGACTGCCTGAAAAAGAATTAACCCTGTAAGTTCAGCCGCGTTGATTCTATTTGTTTTCGAAATCCATGTACTATTGAAATTTGAATAAGCCCAGGTTTGTGTTACTACTCGTGACTGAGGGATCCCAGGGCTGTCAGATTAACTCTCAGGTCTTTCTACAGTCATTCTGAGACTGCCTGAAAAGGAGTTAACCCTGTACGTTCAGCCGTGTCGATTCTAGAAGTACGCCAAAGCCGACCCATTCTGTCGCAGTTTGTTTATCCCTCTTGCCGCTGTTCCCTCTTGTCACGGCCGTCGAACAACTACTTCTTAATAGACCGACGGTCGACGAACCTCGGCTAACTTCACGCTCTGAGTCGATGTCTCACCCAACCAGGAGGGCGCAGACGTCGAAAGGGGTGTAACTACGGCGTACTTCGGCGTAGTTACTCTAACTAGGGTTTTGATCTACTGATGGCGATGTATCTTGATTTATAGCTATCTCTATCTGTCTTTTACTACTGACAACAATCAAGGATCGCTGAAGAACTTCAGCGATCTTCTCAGCTAATATTATCTACTCCTCCTAGACGTTCATCCAACCCTCTCGCGCTTTGACGTACTTCAACGCACTTCGTCCAACTTCCCCGAGCCCTCGGCCATCCTCTTCCTCCTTCGACTAACTCCGCCTAACATCGCCGCACTTCTGCTCCCATTGTCCCTACTTAGCCTAACTCCGTCTAACTTCGCCGTACTTCTGCTCCCATTGTCCCTACTTAGACTAACTCCGCCTAACATCGCCGCACTTCTGCTCCCATTGTCCCTACCTAGCCTAACTCCGTCTAACTTCGCCGTACTTCTGCTCCCATTGTCCCTACCTAGCCTAACTCCGTCTAACTTCGCCGTACTTGGTCTCAGAAGTCCTGAGTTACGTGTAGAGTAAAGAGGTTAAGACGTGATGGGGGTTTTGATGGTCAAAGGAGGGTCATTGTTGGTAGAATAATCGAGGTGTCACGACGTAGTTCGTGACACCTCTTTGTCAGGATCTCCAAATTTGGTCTTGAGCTACTGGATAAACTTCTTGTAGTCCAGAAGATGTTGGGGAGGGTCGTCTTTAGGTAAATCCGGCTGGACAGCAAGGAGAGGAGTTTCACGCAGAAAGGAGATCATGAAAAAGATTTTTACTCGGTCGGTGGGGAATTTGCAAGTGTTGATTTCGAAATGTACTTCACACTCCGAGATGAAAGCCGTGACCTTTCTCCCCTCCATAGATCTGGGAGAGGAAGTTTCATCCCTCCACCCATCTCAGCTACTCCTGGGGTCGCCGAAGCCTGCCTCCCCGTGGCGAATCGTCCCCCTTCAGAGATCCCTTCAACTATCCCCCCCTACTGTCTCCTGCTCCTTTCTCTTCTCCTGTTCCTCTTGACTCTTTCTCTCTGCTATCATATCCAATGAGGCAGTTATTGATTGCTCTAATTATGACATAACATGCATGAGTGGTATACCTGGTATACCTCCAGCTGACAAGTGGATACTCACCCTCCCCTCTGACAGGAGGACAGTAAGTGGTTTGGAAATGCTGGTATACCAGGAGTATGTGCTGAATCTACATCTAGTTGACCAATGCCCAAATGTGTTGGAAGTAGGTCAATCAAGACTGCCACCTTGGAGCGCTATTGCTATCTCCGCACATTCCCTTGTCTCATTCATATCTAACCCCTGTCAATATTGTAGTTTCTCTTTATGCATCCTACTCCTACATCTGACAGGTTATCAGCCTGCTGCATTGCTTTTAAGACAAAATCTATCTGCTCCCGACACTTCTGAGATCCCTCCAGCATGATAACCATCAGTAGAATCATCACCCAAGTGAAGAATTTAATTTCCACTACTCCTCCTTTTGCTTGGGTATCAATAGTTGCTTCCTCAGAAGTGAACCTTGTCAATTCCCGATGGCACTCATTCAATGCGCAAAATCATCTTTTTCTCCTTCTTTTTCTAATTCCGTTCGGACTAATCCAATTGTCAATATGTCTTTGGATCTAGAAGGAGTGTCACAGCTTCCACTACTACTAGCAAGGACAGACCAACAGCAACAGCGAAACAGTCGCTTCATCAGAAGTGAATGTTTTTGATTCCAATGACACTCATTTGATGTGCAACACCGTCTTTTTTCTCTTTTTGGTTCTAACTTCCTTCAGACTACTCTGATCGTCAATATCTCTTTGAATTTGGACAGAGCATCACTGCTACTAATACTACTAGCAAGGAGAGATCAACAGCATCACCAAAACAGTCACTTCATCAGAAGTGAATGTTTTTGTTTCCCATGACACTCATTTGATGTGCAAAATTCGCTTTTTGCTTCTAACTTCCTTCAGACTACTCCGATCGTCAATATCTCTTCGGATCTGGAAAGAGCATCACTGCTTCTAATACTACTAGCAAGGAGAGACCAACAGCATCAGCAAAACAGTCACTTCATCAGAAGTGAATGTTTTTGATTCCAATGACACTCATTTGATGTGCAACACCGTCTTTTTTTGCTTTTTGCTTCTAACTTCCTTCAGACTACTCCGATCGTCAATATCTCTTCGGATCTGGAAAGAGCATCACTGCTTCTAATACTACTAGCAAGGAGAGACCAACAGCATCAGCAAAACAGTCACTTCATCAGAAGTGAATGTTTTTGATTCCAATGACACTCATTTGATGTGCAACACCGTCTTTTTTCGCTTTTTGCTTCTAACTACCTTCAGACTACTCCGATCGTCAATATCTCTTCGAATCTGGACAGAGCATCACTGCTCCTACTAATCCGAAGAGAGATGTATTTCGTTCAATATTGACTGAGTTGTGTTGATGAAGCGATTTTTCAGGCTGAAAGAGTGATATTGAAGTTGAAAATTTTCACTTTCGCTATATCTGCCTATTTGTCAATGCTATTGGTCTGTCTTTTTCGGTTATGGTGGAAGCAGTGACACTCTGTTTAGATGCGAAGAGATATCAAGTATAGGAGTAGTATTGGTGGAGATTGAGAGAGAAACGTGGTTTGAAGGAAAAAGCGAAATTTTGACTTGAGTTGAGGATTCTACTGATAGTTCTACAGATTCTAATGCTGGAGGGACCGCAAGGGGGTGTCGGGAGCAGTCAGATGTTGTCTTAAGAGCGATATTTCAGGCTCATAACCTGACAGATGTAGAAGTAGAATGCATAAAGAGTACAATATTGACAGAGGTCAGATATGAGACGAGGGAATACTCGGAAATGGTAATATTGCTACATGTGGCAGTTACCCAATTGCACCATTTCCGACACAAATTAGCAACTGCTTATGACACGAAACCACTAGAGTGACGATCCCTCAGGAAGTACTTAGCCTAGCGAACTCTTTGCAGCATGATGCGCCACTGTGGCCTCTATCATCAGTATTAATTGCAGCTTGATTGGGGGTGAGGTCAGGGAGAGAGTACAACAGCAATTCTCAAAAGTACAATGCACAAATTAGCAACTGCTTATGACACAAAACCACTAGAGTGACGATGCCTCAGGAAGTACTTAGCCTATTGTAGCAAACTCTTTGCAGCATGATGCGCCACTGTGGCCTCTATCATCAGTATTATTTGCAGCTTGAGTGGGGGTGAGGCCAGAGAGACAGTACAACAGTGATTCTCAAAAGTTTCAATGGGAACCAAGAACGTTCACTTCTGATGAAGTGACTGTTTTGCTGATGCATGAATTCTCAATTTGCTTTTTGATTATCTAAGTCCCTGCAAGACGGATTGGACTGATCTTTGCGGTGAATATCTGCACCACTACCAATGATATGTGGTGTAAGTTTTACATTAGGAACTCCAGGAACTTTGTGAAGAAATTGGATTTTGTAGCAAAAATGACTCATTTTGAATTCTCGTCGCTGTGAGTGCGTGTGCAGCAAGACTGAAAGAGGTATCATCATCATGTAGGTTCAGTTTGTCTGAAGAATCAGAATCTGATGCGGAGCCGGACTCTTCATTTTGCAATTGGTCTCTTTGCATTCCAGCATTTTGAGGTCTAGGATCTCGCTGAAGATTTTGCCAAAACTCTTGATTCTGTGCGTTTCTTTGCTCCTCAAGCTGCTCAAAGGGAGTTTGTATGCGCCCAGATGGCTGAGCTTCATTTCGGTTGATTTCGTCTTGTGGGTCTTGTGCAATTTCATTTTGAATTTCTTCCACTCCAATTGAGATAGTTGTGAAATTCGGATTTGCTTTTTGATTATCTCAGTCCCTGCAAGTCGGATTTGACTGATTTGGAGTGAATATTCTTGCCACTACCAATAATATGTGGTGTAAGTTCCAGAGTAGGGACGAGAGGAACTTTGGAGAAATCTGATTTTGTAGCAAAAATGACATCTTTTGTGATCCAAATCTTATGCGCAATGCCAAACTCTTCGCATCAGAAGACCCTGTTGTGGACTTTATCATGAGTATCAATTGCAGATTGATTGGGGCCAGGGTCAGGAGAGAGTACAACAGTGATTCTCAAAAGGTACAATGCGCAAATTAGCAACTGTTTGTGGAATTGGAACTTCTAGGTGTATTGTTTTGAATTTTGCACAACGACTTGTGAAGCAATCGGGTGAGAGCGACCGCTGTGATAGAAGCCACAACAGTGCACTCTGCTGCAAAGAGTTCCCCATTTTCAGTCGGTAGTTCTGCAGATATGACACACGGGAATACTTGAGAAGATACGCATGGGAATACATATTTGAGGAGATTCATGTACATACCTGAGGAGACACATCAGAATACTCCAACATGCAAATTGAAGATTTCAGATATTGCTTTTAATTTTGTGCAACAACCTGGAATTGGAGCAGTATTGGTGGAGATAGTGCGACAAAGAATTCACGATTTGAAGCGAAAAATGAAAGTTTTGAAGTGGGTTGATGATTCTACTGATAGTTTCTACTGATTCAAATGCTGGAGGGACCGCAGGGGGTGTCAGGAGCAGTGAGATGTTGTCTTAAAGCAATATTTCAGGCTCATAACCTGACAGATGTAGAAGTAAAATGCATACAGAGTACAATATTGACAGAGGTTAGATATGAGACGAGGGAATACGCGGAAATAGTGATAGCACTCCAATGTGGCAGTTACCGATTTCTCTATTTCCGACACTATCTATATCTGGAAGCAAATTGCATTCTTGGTGAATGGTAGGCATGCTTCAACCAGCACTTCTCACTTGTGAGCCAGTCCACAGTGTGGCAGTTCCAATTGCCACTCCCCACCACTGGTACATTAGACATGTGTCTTAAGTCAACAAAGGCCTTTAGACATTACTCTTTCTTACCAATGACATTCTAGTAATATAATCACCAATACTGACACTATTAGGTGTTTTTTGCGTTCTTTAACCTCTGTAGCTCATTTTTCCTCCAGATAACTAGGTCTGGGTGTTTTTGAGCTCGCCCCCATGGGTTCTAGCTACATGAAAAGCCAAGTTTGGGATTGGTTCAGTAGTGACAGGGTAGAGTCACCCTATGTGATCAGGTTTGCGCAAAGTCACTATTACCACCTGTTGCCAGTATTTTTTGCTAATGCGCAAATTAGGAACTGCTTAAGACACAAAACCACCAAAGTGACAATTCCGCAGGAAGTACTCCGCCAAGTGATGCAAACTCTTCGCAGCATGATGCGATACTGTGGCCTCTATCATCAGTATGAATTACAGCTTGATTGGGGCTGGGGTCAGGAAGAGAGTACAAGAGCAGATCTCAAAAGTTACAATGCACATTGAGACTGTTTGTAGAACTCAAAATCACTGATGTGACAATTTCCCAGGAAGTACTTAGGCTATTGTGGCAAACTCTTCGCAGCAGAATACCCTGTTGTGGCCGCTATCATGCCTATCAATTGCAGCTTGATTGGGGATGGGGTGAGGAAGCGAGTACAAGAGCAATTCTCAAAAGTTACAATGCGCAAATTAGCAACTGTTTGTGAAACTCAAAATCACCAAAGCGACAGTTTCTCAGGAAGTACTTAGCCTATTTTGGCAAACTCTTCGCAGAATGATGCGCTACTGTGGCCTCTATCATCAGTATCAATTGCAGCTTGATTGGGGCTGGGGTCAGGGAGAGAGTACAAGAGCAATTCTCAAAAGTTACAATGCGCAAATTAGCAACTGATTGTGAAATTGACAATCACCAAAGTGACGATTTCTCAGGAAGTACTTAGCCTATTATGGGAAATTCTTCGCAGCAGAATACTCTGTTGTGGCCTTTATCGTCTGTATCAATTGCAGGTTGTTGGGGAATGGGTCAGGGAGTGTCACAAACTACGTCGTGACACCCCTAAATCCCACCAACAACGACCCTCCTTTGACCATCAAACCTCCATCAATTCTCGACCTCTTTGGTTTACACGTATCCTAGGACATCTTAGACCAACCACGACAAAGTTAGGCGAAGTTAGACAGGTTAAGGGTAAAGGGAACCGAGGTACGATGAGGTTAGAGGATCGGGTGTTCGGTGGTTCGGGGAAGTTGGCCGAAGTGCGTCGAAGCGCGGATGGGTTGGATGAACATCTAGGAGTGGTGGATACATTTAGCTGAGAAGATCGCTGAAGTTCTTCAGCGATCCTTGATTGTTGTCAGTAGTGAAAGATTGATAGAGATAGCTACTATACAAAACGAGATACATCGCCATCAGAGAAAACCCCCAGATAGAGTAACTACGCCGAAGCTCGCCGTAGTTACACTCCTTTCGACGTCTGCGCCCTCCTGGTTGGGTGAGACATCGAATTAGGACCACCAAGTTAGCCGAGGTTCGTCGACCGTTGGTCTATTGAAAAGAAGTTATTCGACGGCCGTGACAGGGAGAGAGTACAAAAGCGAGTCTCAAAAGTTACAATACACAAATTAGCAACTGTTTGCGAAATTCAAAATCACCAAAGTGACAAATTCTCAGGAAGTTCTCTGCCAAATGATGCAAACTCTTCGCAGTCGCTCAGTTTAGCCCCAGGTAGCTAGTATTAATCTTTTCGAGCTTGTCCTCACGCACTCTATCTACATCCAAAGTCAGATTGGCAATCGTTCCATTAGTAGCAGAGTACAGTCACACTTTGTGACCAGTTTTGCGCAAAGTTACTATTACCACCTGTTGCAAGTATTCTTTGAGTGGTTCAACCCTTGTCGCTCATTTTTGCTCCAATTAACTAGGTCAGGGTGTTTTCAAGCTCGCCCTCATACGCTCTAGTAACATCAAAAGTCAGATTTGAGATCGGCATCTCCGTAGCACGGTAAAGTCACACTTTGAACACAGTTTTGCGCAAACTTACTATTGCCACCTATTGCTTTGTGCTCGCAGCTATGTTAAATGCCCACCAAGCGAATCGCTCTCGCCAGTAGGGGCTACTTTGAGTGGAAAGCATAAAAGATATTCAGTCAATGTTTGGGAGGGCAAAAATAAAGTTGGAGTTTTTGTGAGCAACAATAGTGACATATGTTACACTCACATTTCAATTATTTTGCTCTCAACTCATCAATCTCACACAACCACTCTTGCTCCTAAGCGTGTCACAACGCTGCAAGCCCTTGGGTTGTGCCCCTTGGACACTGAGAGTTCAGGGACAATACATAGCGAGACAGGTGGATACCAGGCGAGATAGGTGAGATACATAGCAAGATAGGGTGAGACATCAAGCGAGATAGGTGAGATGTTAGGTGGGATAGACGAAATCTCAGGCGAGACAAAGTGAGAAGCAAGGCAAGACAGGTGAGATGGGCGAGACATGGAGCTAGACAGTTTGCGAGCAGAACTCACTGAAAACTATATATACTGCTCATAATAGTCTCCTTGTAGTCTTTCCATTGAATTCGATGGACTCAGAAGAAAAAGGACCAAGACACATAGTAAGAGGAGCAATCCGGGAAGACTCATTATTTGGCCTCATCAAAAACGGACTAAAAGACTCAGAAGACACAGCGAACATACGACGACTAGGACTGCAATTGACACAGACACATAGCACACAGAACACACAGACCACACAGAACCTACAGATTAGCAAAGAGATCCCAGTAGTATCATGGACACAAAGCGGATTACTTCTGTACAAGAACAGAGTGGTCATACCAGAGGGACAAGCAAGATTAGAAGTGATGAAAGCAAGACACGATTCGAAATTAGTAGGACACCCTGGGAGAGACAAAACTATCACCACGGTCAAAGAAGACTATCATTGGCCGCATTTGGATGATTATATTGCTAAAAATGTGAAAGGGTGTGAGATTTGCAACTGACACAAGACTCACAGACATCAACCTTATGGACATCAAGTCTCTTTACCGGTACCTACACTCCCCTGGACAGATATCTCCATGGGTATGGTGGGACCCCTGCCAAAATCGACAGAGTTCGACGCAATTCTGGTGATAGTTGACCAACTGACCAAGATGGCTTGTCACGAGACCAACTAACCAGCATTGGGACGATATAACAGTGCCCTTCAGAGGCAGCGGTCTAAACCACTGTGCTAAAAGGCCTATTAACCGGCGGTTACTGCATACCGCCGGTCGCTGGTTAAATACCCAACCCATCCTATCACTATCACTATCAAACTGTCTTGTCACTTCGTGACATGGCTCGATTCATTTGTACAACCGGCTTGACAGCAAACAAGGTGGCCGACATATACATCAAGGAGATATTTTCTAAGCACGGGGTACCTTGAATCATCGTATCAGATAGGGGGACTCAATTTACAGCTGAAATCTGGAAGGAAATATGTCAATTCCTGGGTATAAAGAACTTGTATTCAACGGCGTACCACCCTCAAACAGACGGACAGACTGAACGAGTAAATTAACAGATGGAGATCCTACTTGGAATGTATGTGAACTACATCATGGACAATTGGGATCAACTCCTACCAGTTGCTGAGTTTGCTTATAATTGTTCTCCACATAGTAGCCATGGTCTGTGTCCATTCAAAGCGTGTTACGGCTATGTGCCACACTACGACATCCATTTGCACGATATTCGATCAAAGTCAAACAAACTAGAAAGAAAAGGGAAAGATATGGGAGACCTGCATGCGGCAGTTCAAGAGCAGGTCATAATGGATAATGAGATTAGTGGGGAATACTACAACAGAAGACACAAAGCATCCCAGAGGAATTCAGAGAGGGAGAGGAAGTACTGTTAAGTACCAAGTATCTGACTACGGAACGAGCAAGTCAAAAATTAGAAGCGAAATATGTTGGTCCTTTCCCTTTCAAGATTAAGAGGAGGGTTGGAAAGAACACTTTCGAATTGGATCTACCTCCATCAATGAGAGTGCACAATGTCTTCAATGTCACACTGTTGGAACTGTATCCTAAGGACATGATACCAGGTCGACAGACAAAGCCCCACCGCCTGTAATAATTAACGGCCAGGAGGAATTCCATGTAGAAGCAATTGTGGATAGCAGAATTCGACGGGGAAGGGAGGAATTCGAGGTAAAATGGTTAGGATACACAGGGAATGCTGCCTATGACTGGGAACCACGAGAAAATGTCGAAGATCTGGCCGTGTTTGACGAATTCCTAGAAAAGAGGAAAACAGACCCCAGAAGGAAGTGAGAATTCGATCAATACAGTCGGGTCCAAAAAGTCATGCAACTGCTTTTCATAGTAATTTGGCAGGTGAATCATGGTAGTCAACTTTGATGTGCTTTACAACACTCAGCTTAAGGTATGCATGGCTAAGGTCTTAAGACATTTCGTACATCTATCCAATCCAGATCTGTCAAGCTGCTTTTGGTTTGGATGTATGACTGAGAGTGACATGTGACAATCATATCCTGAAGGGGCACTTTTGACCATTTTGGCCAAAAACCATGATTTTTGACCAAACTGCATGATGTTCTACGTGTTTCCCAGACAAACCTCTACAATGTTGATGCGCAGCTACTTGTGGTACCTGGTAGAGGAGAATCCTGCAGATATTTTGGTAGGATTTGAGCCCCATGCATGCAGACATCTCAAAGATATGTGAGCCTCAATCTCCCACACCAATTTTCCCAGCCAGATTACTAGGAAGAGCTGTTGCATGACTTTTCAGATACGATCACGCCACCAAGCGGCAGCGAAC